GGACTCCATAAAGCCGTTCTCAAAGGCTGTGCTGGGTCGTGTCTCCTGCCTCCTTGACAACAGCTTTGCAAGGCATGGCTTAGCCTTCCTGCCTGTGCAGAGGACCAGGATTGCCACTTGAGCTGCTTTGCAGTAGCTATGTGTAGTTAGCACGTTTTCTGCCTCGGGTCGACAGCTCTTCTGCCGAGATGCAGAGACATGTCTATTGCCAGGTGTCTGGTTATTCTGTGCATATTCCACTTATCTATACGGCCACCCACCCACCATCTATCTGTGCAGCATTGATTTGCTATTCACCAGCACTCTGTTAGGTATGGGGAATTTAAATATAAATAATAAACAGGTCTTGCTTTCAAAGAACTCACTGCCTAATAGAGCAAAAACGTAAACAGATCATTGATTATTGATGGCTGTAGAAAACAGGTCTTGCTTTCAAAGAACTCACTGCCTAATAGAGCAAAAACGTAAACAGATCATTGTTTCATCAATGCTGAAACACTTGAGGGGTGTGTCAGTAGTATTCTGGAGCAGCATTGTCTCTGAGTGGTCCTTTTTCTGTCTGCCAAGCTTGTCCCATACTACGAGGAAGTGGGGACTCATAGAGGTGAAGGTCCTTGCTCTGGTCACGTGTCTGGTAAGTGGGTGAGTCTCAGATTCAAACCCAGCTCTGCAATTCCAGGGTCCTTGATCGCTAAACACTGTTTGTTGGAGTCCCACTGCTTTTGTCTGGACCTGCCTACATAAAATGTTGCTAAATCGTAGGTCCCTGACAAGCCTAAGCCACTCAGGCATCTTTGAGCACAGTTTCTGGGTATTTTCTCCTGCTGTTAGGGTCATCTGTAGCCAACAGGCCTTTGAGTGAGAAAACAGACAAAATTCAGACTTGCTGTAGTTTTAGATGAGGCAGATAGTCTCTGTGGCCTGCTTCTCCTTGGCAGGAAACTTCTGACGCACTGTGGGTATATTAGCAAATCAGCAGTGCTGTCTCCTCAGGGGTTTCAAAGACTTGGAAACCATAATGGAAAATGGAATGCCTGGAACATTCTGTGGTTTTGCCGTTGCCTCTCCCCCCTTCCCTTTGTGCAGCTGATGCCTCTTTTCCTGGAATGCCTTTGTCTGTCTGGCCAACTTTTCATCTCTAGGAAGCCTTCCCCAAACCCCATCCAGGTGGGACCTCCTCTCTACCCCTATGGTAGCCTGTTAGAGCCTCACCACCCCTAACGTAGAGGCCCCAGTAGACCACCGAGCACAGTGGTTATAATAATGACCTGCGTACACATCTTTCTCCCACACCAGGCTGTGAGGTCTGGGGTCTCTGATCGTCTGTTTTGCAGCCTCATGAACGTGTAAAGGAGATGTGCTCTGGACTGACTCAGACTTCGCCAGTTTAAAGTTTATACATATGATTCTTTGTTCTATGAAAAAGTGTATGAGGTAACCGAAAATACTTAATAAATGATGGCTTATGAAAGAGTTTTTTAAAATAAATTTTATCATGTACATTTGAGGTTTACAGCCTGATGTTGTGGGGTACGTACAGATAGTAAGATGGTTACTATAGTGATCCAGATGAATGTGTTTAGCATCTCACACAGTTACTTGTTTTTGTGACAAGAACAGCTAAAATCTACTTATTTAACAAAAATCCCTAATGCAGTTTTCTTAATTTTAGTCATTATGTTGTACATTACACCTCTAAACTTGTTCATGGAAAAGAATTTTTAATTGAAGAAGGAGGCAAAGAATTTAACAAAACAAACAAAAAAGACCTAACAAAGCTTTGGAGTCAGGCTTACCTGGGTTTGAGTCCTGGTGCCTTTATTTACAGAGTGTGGCTAGGCTGGTTTTTAACTTCCTTGAGCCTTAGTTTTCTCATCTGTAAAATGGGAGTGATAACATCTCCTATGATTCTTACGCATTGTTACTGGGTGAACATAGGTAAAGGGATTAGCCTAGAACCTGGTACTTAGAAGACATTTCATTACTGATAGCTGTAATTAATACAATAGAAGGAAAATGCCTCATGTCTGCTTTTGGACTCTACGTTTATTTTTACAGAAGTCTGTTTACTTATTTTGTGTGTGTGTGCTCATTTCAAGATATCTTTTTGCCATTGGATTGAAAAACATAGCTTGTGAGTCATGACCCACTTTAGATCTGGAAGAAGACTGGGCTTGATTTTGACAGATGCAGGGTCAGACACTCGGATCCTCATCTCTCTTTGGACAGTAAACAGATATGCCTAGAATGTAATCATTTTGCAAATTGCATAGATCGATGCATTCCGACAGCATAGAATGTCCACTCTTGGGTGGCTTTCAGCCAGCAATGACTCACCACTTGGTGCCACATGCAAGCTCTTGAGGAACGATGTTCAGAGACTTGCCCAGGATTTATGTATCACACCAGTTTTAATTGTTGTATTTTGCTTCATAGGGAGTGTAATCCTCTGTCACTGTATACTGCTCTGCACAATATTGTGAGAGTTTTCAGCGTTGTACTGGTTTAAAGCATTCCGGCATCCTCCGGAGACCCAATTTAGACAAACTTAGTTATATAAAGTACAGTAATGATCTTCTTACTAAGGTTTGGGAGGTTCTTTATGCCTGTAACTGTAAGAAACATATCACGAAGATAGACAAATGAGAGATAACAGCTGCTCTTTACTTAGCTTGTGCTGTATACCAGGGACTGTGCCAAGTCCTTCCATACACTTTATTTCTGAGTGTCACAAAAGCCTAGCAAGACGGGCATTGCTATTTTATCATCAAGGGCACTGTGGCCCAAACTCATCCAGTAACTGGCCCATGACCTTTGACAGGGGTAAGGATTGCTTGAGTCTGTCTGGCTCCAAAGCCTATGGTCCTTCCCCTCATGTTGCACGAGCCATAAACAGCACATTCCACTTCTCTGCCAGCTATAAACAGGCCGCTGCTGCAACACTTGACCACCCCGCTAACCCACAGCGGCATTGCCCCATCACAGGTCAGCTGGTGCTTCCCAGAACTGGCTACAGCCCTGACGGAGACGGCGTGTCACCCCCTCTCCCTCCTGCTCTGCCTCTCCCTGGGTTTGTCCCTCCCTTGTCTGGGGAAAGCCTTTGCATTGGTTTTAGTGAGTTGATCTCTGAAAACTCTGCCATCTTGTGCCTCAAACAGAACTCCAAGATTAGGTTCATCCGTACTCACTACCCTGGGAGCTCCCTTCACAAACATTGATTTGGCAAAATGTAGATGTATCTGCGAATAATCTAAGTTCAGAGGCCAGGCAGATCAAAAGAATGCAGGCTGAAACCCGGGGGCCTCGGTTCACAGCTGCCAACATTGTAATTCGCACATGAAACTCATAAGAAAAGCTTTGGGAAATGGTTCTTTCTGAAGATAGCATTGATTTCTATTTTTTAAAGAAATTGCTATCTAGAGTCTTTAGTGAATGAAATATTCTGGTTTGCTAGAATGGGGAAAATTGCCCATTTAGATGAAATTATTATTTATGTATCGAGCATATGCTCTTTTCCATATATTCTTGTAGACTCTTTCACTTGCATAAAATTCTTACAACTCCACTGTAAGGCAGGTTAAATCATCCCAAACTGCAGATCAGGAAAATAAGGCTGGTATAGAGAGAGTACCAGACTTGTTCTAAACATAGAAGTAGTAGGAATTGCAGTTGGATTTCAATATAGATCCATTCACTAATAATAGCCATGTGTTCTTGGAATGAAAAAGATTATACATTTTTGGGGGGGAGGTAGCAGCTTAGCAAACATGGCTTGTGGGCTTTTTTGATGAATTGTTATTATAATATTTTAATAGTGTTATTATAATACTAGCAGCATTGCTATTATGAACTTCAAATATTATCCAGGGACTGTGATTAAAAGTTGATTGGGGCGGGGGGCTGGCTGGTTAGATCAGTTGGTCGGAATGCAATATTATAACACCGAGGTTGAGGGTTTGGATCCCCATACAGGCCAGTGGCTAAAAAGGAAAAAAAAAAAAAAAGTTGATTTGAGATGCTGCTGAAGTATTTCACATTGTTTTTCCTTCACTTAACAGCCCCGGTTTCCTGTGCTTTTTGGGTTCTTGCATAAACTCTTCAAGGATTCTGTCTCTAGTGTCCCTTGGTAATGAGCCTGCCTAGAGAAGGCCATATCTTTTATTCTCGTTGTTTATGATGTGCTTTTCAAGGAATTACTAGAATCCTAAAACCGATAAACTTTGTAAAACAGGAGCAAATTGGTCCTGAGAAAGGCCACATAATGTTTTATATTAACTGTACTTTGTGTCCACTTGGTCTTTTTTGACCCACTTCAGATTTTAAGCAGTACTCCCAGGTACATGAGGTTGGTAGTAAGACATTGCCAGGTAAGTGAGACGTCAGAAATGAGGACTGTCAAGGACACATGGCTTCTCAGTAGTGAGAACGTGGGCATTTATCCGAGCAAGCTTGGGTTTGAATCTAGGCTCTGTCTTCACTATCTGGGTAAACTGGCAAGTTCCTTCTTTGGTGACTCAGTTTGCACCTCTAAAAGATGCAACGGTCATGCATATCTTATAAGAATGTTCTAGGGATTAAATGAAACGGTGGAAGATAATTTAGTACAATGCCTGACATTTCATATGCGTTTGAGAAGTATTACTTCCCAACCTCCCTCGCTGCCTCTTTCTTCCTGCTGTTAGAGGTATTGGCTTTTCTGTTTGCCGAGATTGTGCGCAGGGATCTTATCCACAGCATTAGCTTGGGAGCCAGCATACGGTCCTTGGTGCAGAACAGATACCCCACAACTATTTGTTGAATGAGTAAAACCTCTAAACCTCTAATTTGGTGGTTGCTATGGGCTACACAGTGAAAATATAAAACTGTAATGGAACAATGTACTTGATTGATCACTGTTTCAATGCATCCCTATTTCTTCAGCATTAAGGAAGTAAAAATGTTTACAGACACTTCTCTGTTTTCTCTTTCAGTGCCTGAAACAGTATGTTGAGCTCTTGATCAAAGAGGGATTAGAAACTGCAATCAGCTGCCCAGATGCTGCCTGCCCTAAGCAGGGCCACCTGCAAGAGAATGAGGCATGTGCAGATAACAACCCGGTTTGTCTGAGGTGTCTTTGTAGGCCCTGCTTAGCTGTCAAGATGCTGCCAGTTCTGTTTGGGTTTACGTTGCTTTGTATTCTAGCCCTCAGCTTGTTATAATCCTTGTTTATCTTTTTTCCTTTAGATTGAGTGCATGGTTGCGGCTGAAATTATGCAAAGATATAAAAAGCTACAATTTGAAAGAGGTAGGTGCCCCAGTATATTAGCCGGTTGTAATTCCTATAACAGAATGTGGGTAACTTTTGGGGGAGTTCTTTTGGTAGATATGATTGTACACCAGTTGATAAGAGTGAAAAAGTTGATGTAAACAGAACTTCTGAAATTCAGCTGACATTTTGAATTCTCTGAACAGCTCACAGTTTAAAGCTCTTGGCTGGGGATCTGTTTGGTAGCAGGAGGAATTTATGAAACACAGTTTGTTTATAGGGATTAGAGCTTCTGCGGGTTGTTTAAAGAGATATGATCCTCATGGTGCATTATTCTTCAGCCAGGTTAAGGCCTAATGGAGTGAGGGCTAAACTCTTAGACTGGCCCTGAGTTTAAAAGATAGAAAGGCCTGGAAAGTAGTCCTTAGGCTCAACGTAGTAGTAATTGGGATTACCATCACAATCAGAGAGTAGTGCATGCAGTCTGCAACCACTGCAGGCCTCTGATAGTGGTGATAAGTGAATAATTGAGCTTCATAACTCAGTAAACATCTCAACAACCCTGCAAGGTTAATTGGCTGTTATCTGTTAAACTGCCACCCAGAGGGCCCTGTGACTCACCTGATTTCTAACATTCTCTAGTTAGCTGTGACCCTCCCACCCCCCATCCCACCACTCCCCGGGCCCTCCACAATCCTCCTTGCTGGAGTCTGGCTTGAGCAGACCCAGGGATTCTCAGGGAGAACAGTAGGGACAGTGCAGTGTTAACATTATTTTCAGGATTTCGTTGCAAAGCTTTAAAACATGTTGAATGTGTAGGAGAGTCCGTCTTTGCTCCCTAAAGTGTTCCAAGATCATAAAAGGACATTTAAAAGAGTCTGCAAAAGAAGCTCATCTGCAAAAGAGCAGAATAGCAGCCGTGTATAGGAGAAACTTCTTATGCAGAACTTCGTTGTGAAAACACTGCACGCGAATTCTGAAATTTTCAGCTGAGTGTGGAATCGCTGAAGCCCACTCTTTTTTCTCCTGGAATAGCAGCCGTGTATAGGAGAAACTTCTTATGCAGAACTTCGTTGTGAAAACACTGCACGCAAATTCTGAAATTTTCAGCTGAGTGTGGAATCGCTGAAGCCCACTCTTTTTTCTCCTGGACTGGGACTCACTCCTGAGATCCAGCCTTGTATCAGGGATTCACTCCCAAGTTCTAACCTCTAAGGACGTGTTTATGTGAAAACACTGTCTAGATGGGAATGCGAGGCAGAGTAGACAGAGGAAAACGCCCAGGGACTCCCAGTTCAGCTGAATGTGGGGAGTGCTAGCTACGTTTCCACTTGAGGTTTGCTTCTCAAAACAAAGGGGCAATGTATGGCTACAACCTGAAAAATAAAATCAAACAGAATTTTTCCTGTCCTTGAAACTTGAATTCAAGACCTTATTTATTTATGTGGTATTTATCATTTGCTTTGGGGCAGTTTATAGCTTAAACACAATGCCGTGAGGTGCAAAAGTCTGTATGTAAAGCTGTACAATTAATTAATTTGGATTTCTGACACTTTCAGGCTCTTCTGAAAAATATTTTCCAGAGAAAATCTTGATGGAAACTGGCAATTGTTTGAGTTACAAGAATATGAACTTTCTGTGACATTGAATTAAATTTAAAAATGCAGCTGGGTAGATTTTCCTACTGTTATTTTTTGAGTACGTAGGCTTAGTCATTTTTTTTTTCTTTTGCATAAAAAAATGAAGCCAACCTGACTTAGGTTAAAAAAAAATCTCTTAAATCTGTCACTTTTAAACATTTTACTGACATTATGTTAAAAGTTTTTTTTTTAAAGGATTTATAATATGACAAAAGACCTGTCTAAATGAAATGTTAGAATGTTGAAGCTAAAATATGGCTATGGATTATAGCTGGTATCTTGTACAGGTTTGGAGATGTGATCAGAAGGCAAATTTTGACTTGCTCTATGCTTTTAAAGTTCAGCCAGTGGAGGACACCGTAGGAGAAAACTCAGTTCAATAATTTTCTGAAAGGATTTAGTTACCAAAAAGTCCTATGGTTGGTTTAAGTTGCAAACACTGTCTCCATTTAGTCATGGAATATCTCACCTGATCTCTCAGCCTTGATTATAATTTAAACTTCTCTGCTTTTCTAGCTGGGGCATCTTGGAAGCAGGGAGCCACGGAAGGGGACTAGCAAGTTTCTTTTTCTGTCTGAGCATCCACCTGGCTGACTCCCAAGTCTGGGGTGGGGATGGGCTTTCGAGAGAGGTGGCTCGGGTCACTCACATGTGTGTGCCACTCTCCACTTGTGCCTACATGCGGATCTTTCTGGAAGCCGATGCCATCCCAGAGACAGTGACTGCAGCTTTCTTGTCTCTTCGTCCCACTGCCAGGAGAGCTCCTGGTGAAACTAATGCTGAAGTCTGGTCTGGTCCTGCGTTGTTTTGTTTTTTTAAAGAAAGTAAAACTCAGAGAAATTAAATAATGTGCTGGGGTTATCCACCAGCAAAGCTCAGAGAGATTAAATTATGTGCTGGGGTTATCCACCAGTAATCAGTTCTGCCTAGAGCCCATGACTCCTAAAAATCATGCTGTCTCACAAGAATCAAACCCACCACCTCAGTCCCCTTGCAGGGCACCAGCCAGGCTAGGCAGCACGGTGAGAGGGAGTGCGTGAGAATATTCTGGGTGTTTGTTCTTCACAGCGTGCTTTGGAAAGTTAAGAATCTTTTTAAAAAAGAAAACCTCCTTTTAAAAATGTCCTGGACTCTTTCATAAGTAGAGAGCTATTAGGGACCTACATCATTAATCTTTATGTCTTCGGGAGATTGGAGTTACGACTGCTTTCTTCTAGTTCCTTCTAGAAATATGTTGTTTGCGTGTTTGAAACTATTCGCTTTGCACAGTTGTTTGAAAATATATAAATAAAACATAGGAGATATACTATATAAGATATAATGTATAATGCATGTTATTGCTAGATATGAATGCAATAGAGAGAAAGATATATACGTTATGTACATTATGAAAAGAAAACCTTTCCAGTGTAGCCTGGTGTGGACTTTCTTACTGATCGATCCCATCTTGGACACACAGCTGGTGGGATTCAGCAGCGGGAGGGTGATGCAGACTATGAGCAGACACCCAGCCAGAAGCCAGGGCTGTGTTCGCAGGTCGATGTGCCTGGCAGATAGGAAGGATGTCTGCAGTCAGCAGAGTGAAATGATTATTCGTCCTTTACCTTTCTGATGGAGACTCTCTCCACGTGGGGACAGGCAGCACCATGCCACAGCTGAAAATTTAAGTTGTTACTATGGAAACCTTATCCAGGTCTCCCCTCCACCCTATGATGTAATGGAGCCTTTCATGATGAGGAGTATAACAGCGTCTCACTCTGAGTTGCCAGCAGGAAGGACGGGCTGTGGCCCATAGTGGCAGGAAAGCACCTGAAAAGACTCAAGCACAGCTCTGCAAAGTCTGTGCCCTCCTGAGGTCAGCGGCTCCTGTGAGCAACGGAAGGGTTGGAGAGCAGTGGGAACCAGAGGGGACCCAGGCAGGCAGGGTCACATGGGAAAGGAAGTGAGGACAGACTGAGGCTTCCTCCCCCTGTACTGCGTGGTGTTGAGCACTTTGAGCGCTGCCATCCTGCAGGGTCTGTGTCACAGGCTGTGCACATAGAGGACTTCCCAGCTGGTCTAGGGCCAGGCGGGGCTCGTGCCGCAGCACCACAGGCAGAAGGCCTGGAGCTGTGTGCATATGAGCACAGGGCATGGAGGGGAGGGGACGCCAGGCACCGAGCAGCTTCTGCTCCCTGGGCAGGACGCCCGGACGTGAAGCTGCCTTTGGCATTTCTGCCACATGCTCAGCTCATCCCAGTTCTCAGTGGCGCATTCTATGCATCAGGCCAGTGTGCACACCCTTCCCTCCTGGCTTGGTCATGTCCCCTCAGCCTAGGCGAGCCACAGGCAGCTGCCCCCACCCATGTGCCCACGGGCAACAGCTAGGTTTTCCCAAAAAGCCACCCCTTCAGATCTGACATTCAGGAACATTCTTAGAAAAGCAAACATTGAAAGTATCAATAAGACAAGCTAATTTTGCTCTTTCACTTAGTATTAGGAGAAGCCTGAAGAATTTACATTAGAATAATGATCAGTTAAAGAGGAGTATGTTTCTGAGCTTTAGTTCCTTTATATGATCAAGTTATTCTATATCTTCTGCTAGACCTACCAATTTCATAATTTTCTATCATTGATAAATTTACCGTTAAAAAAAAGGCGGGGTGGGGGGTTGCAGTAGTTAGATTGGATCTGGAGTCAGCCAGCCGTGGCAAACGGCTAAATCCAGCCCCAGCTCAGGGCCTGCAGTTGTAATTAAAGTTTTACTGGAACAGTCACTTGTGCATCGCTGTGGCTGTTTTTGTGCTAGGACAGCAAAGCTGAGTAGTTTTGACTGAAATCCAAAAACCGCACGGCTCTCAGAGACTTAAATAATCCCTGTGTGGCCCTTTACTGGAAAAGTTTGCCAACCCCTGTATTCAATTAGATCATTGTCAAGGTTGTACCGGATACAAGCTTTTTCCTAAAGGGCTGAATTTGGCTTCCCCATTTATTGGGGAACGTGCTAAAATGCCCAAGGGCATCCACATAGGGACCCCCAGCTAGTGATTTGGAGACTGACTTGCTGCCCTTGCCGTGGCGACGTGTGTAGGTGACGTGGGGGCTCAGGCGCAGCCTCTGCCCGAGTGGAGCCCCGCGGGTGTGAATCTGATGCAGGTCAGCTGAACCCACCCAGCTGCCTGTCACAGGGCCCACGAGCGTGTGAGGCCCTTTTACCGCCCTCCAGGTCCTGGGCAGAATTCAGTTGTCTTGATTGTCTGCCAAGAACAGTCCTGCTGAAAAGTTTAGAAACTGGTGTCCTACTTGAAAGCTTTTAAAAACAGCCCCACAGTCTGTGAGCCTCTGACAGCCTTGTGGCATTCCTCCTGGTCCCCGCCCACTGTCCCCTCCTTGAGAATTCCGTGTCACACCAGGCAGGAGGCAAAGCGACATGAATAACCAGGCTCAACACGAAGGGCAGCCCGGGGCCGATTATTTAGATAAATGTAGTGTTTGGACCAGGACGTGACAGAGTAGGCGTGTCCTGGTATCCTGTTCTAAAAACTGAGCTTCCTGACACTTGCACTCAGTCGGGCTTCTTGGTGACGTGGGCTCTGAATCTGAGGGCCAACCCGGCTGTCAGAGGGTTGGTTTCCTCACTGGTTAGCTCATGGCTTAGATTCGAAGCTGGGAGGAGCAGTGGTCCCAGGCAGATGAGCCATCTGATCAGAGGAACAGTTCAGCCGTCATGCTTCCCACCTTTATTTCCATCTTCTAACAAATGTTTTCCGGGCGCCAACAGAGTGGTGAGCACAGGGCCAGGCTGTGGGATGCGGGATGGGGACACAGCCTGACCCGATGGCTGGCTCCTGGGGAGCTGACATGGAGGCGTGGTGTGCAGCACTCGGGGAGGCCCAGATGAGCTGTGAGCCTGGCGTGAGGGCAAGTGCTGTATCCTAGAGAGCCAGGGGCATTCCCAGTGCAGGAGAGCCCCCCTGAAGGATACCTGGCATCTGGGGATCTGCCCCACATGAGTTGGGAGGCCCTGGGTGGAAGAGCAAGACGGGCACCGGATCTTGAAGGGCCCATTGTGTCCAACTGTGTTATCCGGGTGTCCTCCTCTCTGCTGAGAATGTGAGCAGGGCACCTGCAGGCCTCCTCCACCACAAAGCTCTGCAGGATCCTCTGGCCTCCCGAGTTTGATTTGCCTGTTTTGTCTCCCTGTGCTAGAGGTGCTCTTCGATCCCTGTCGCACTTGGTGCCCGGCGTCCTCCTGCCAGGCTGTGTGCCAGCTGCAGGACCTGGGGCTGCAGACCCCACAGCTGGTGCAGTGCAAAGCCTGCGACATGCAGTTCTGCTCCACCTGCAAAGCCAGCTGGCACCCCGGCCAAGGCTGCTCAGAGACCATGCCGATCACCTTCCTTCCCGGGGAGACCAGGTACCCTCTGTGCATAAGCTGCCACCGAAGGCATGGGCTGCGGGCTGGAGGGGCGGTGGCTTTCTTCTTGCAGGTGCCACCAGGGAGGATGTGGCTGCAGTTAGGTCAGCCTGAACACACTCTGCCTCTTGAGTCTCATTCAAACCTGTAATGTGTTTGGGGAACTCTTTGCCGACATGCTGTAAGGCCCTGGAAGTATAAAGATGCGTAAGAGCCATATCTACACTGCCTGCCCAGAATGACAAATGCGTGAACAGTTCAATGCTATTATGGGTTTTAAGTCCTGAGATAGCTGAAGTTTTTCCAAGACTCCACCAGGTTGAAGGTGACCCAAAATGGTGGTGCAGGAACAGGAATGAGAGTGGGGTGGTGGTTATAAATACCAGAAGGATCACCAAAAACAAGCTTGCAGCTGCCTGAGGCCCAGGCGGCTATGTCTCCCTAAAATTTTGAGTCCGTCAGGCAGATATGGGCAAATGCTGGTGTGCTCCTGCCCTCCTGTCCCCAGATGGTCAGGCTGTTTGCCCAGATGTACACTGCAGCATCCTTCCATGTACCTTGAAATTTAGTAGGTTGGACCATAAGAAACTGATGTTGAGGTCTTTTTGTCCTGCATAATGTGCAGCGTCACGTGGTCCAGCTAGACAGAGGTGCCTTGTTCCTGGTGAGGCCACAACAGGAGGTTCTTGACAGAGAACTGCTCCAGCTGTCTACCACCCACCCAGAGGTGTGATTGCCCGTTGCTCCCTGCTTTCCTCTCTCTTCCCATCCTAGAGCCCCTGTTCCTGTCCCCACAATTGACCCCTGTGCCGTGCCCCAGCCTCAGAACCTCTCGGTGTCCCTGCAACACACCACGTCACACACTGGAGGTTCACACTTTTGGTCCTGTGCCTGCAGTGCTCCTTCGCCCTCCTCCTGTCCCCGGACACTCCTTGCGCCCATTCAGGACAGAGCTCAAGTCCCCTTTGTCAATCCTTCCAGATCCCAGGGCAGGGTTGGTGACACCACCCTCTGTGCTCCTGCTGAGATTGTCTTCATTGATTACAACCCCCAACTGTGCCCGTGGCCCATTCTTCATTAGGCTGAGCCCCTGACGTCAGGACCTGCGCTTGTGTGAACTTTGTTCTAACATGTATCAGACTCTCCCATGCTAGCATGCATCACTGAACTTATACCTAGGGTCACAGAGGCTTCAAAACTTTGCAAGAAGGAACACACTTCTTGTTTGGCAATATTAAAAAGAACTGGGAGAGCTTGATTTCCAGGGTGGGGAAGCTGTAAGTAGAAGGCAGACTGAGGTTTTTTCCCCTTTGAAGCAGTCACACTATCTTTTAAAAGAGAAATCCCAATTGCATGAGTGAGTGAGTTCCTGCATCTGTTCAGCAAGAAGACCAGGCCTGAGGTTTCCTGCATCTGTTCAGCAAGAAGACCAGGCGTGAGAAGGAGCCACGTCCTGCTCCTGGGGGCGGTGGAGAGGACCCAGCCTGAGGTTTTCTTTAGCATGAACCCTTCTTACGATGGAGGGTGGTGAGTGTGTGAAACCTGATCCAAGTGTTTCTTCACGCAGGATATTCTGGTCTCGTTTTCATCATTCCACAAGAGCAATTCAAATCAAAATTCACAAATCTTATTTTGTAGAAATTTAAAAACCAGAAGATTTCACGTAAAAATCGGAATTTCATGTTTCTCTGGGAAATCTGATGTGTAGCTACACAAAGCCTATGTTCCCATCTTGTCTCCCTGGAACTGAAGCTTACTGTCAGCTGCCATTTATAATTGAGAAGACATTCAGTTATTTTTCATATACTAGAGTTTTCCTTTTTAAGGTTAAATCTTCGCTTTCCCCATGTTTCTGTCTTCCACCTGACCAGCTTCACTCACCAGAATTGGCTGCCTGCTCCTTGAAGGCATCAGGGCGCATAGATTGTGATTAAACTGTCTGAAACTCCTATCTGCCTTTGTAAATTTGAATTTAGAGTTATTAATAATAATTTTAACTGTAATTCATATTTCAGAAAATATTTGAAAACCATTGTACATACCACACAAAGTTTTATGCATAACACAATGCACCAGAGCTTACTTATTTAACTGTTTCTATTTTGTGAAGTCTCCCAGAGAGAAACTCTACACACCCCTGTGATCTTGCCTCTGTTTCTGACATTTCTTTCAAAATTAGTTTGTGAGTCACATTAGAAAATTGGTTTCATTACTTTAAGGTCACACCTGGCTTTCAAACCAAAACAATGTTATCTAACTTAGTAAACAACCTTGATTGCCAGATTCAGTGCCTTGTGACTTCCAGCTCTTTGCAATATCAAAAACATTCCCAGAAGGAATCCTGGATAATGTCCGTGCAGAGCTGACCTGCTGGGTCCTGCTCGAGGTGCTGGGACATGTGTTATCTCATTTGCTCTTGCCACAACCCTAGTTCATTCTGACACACATTCTGTGCAGCCAGGTTGGTCTGTAGTTTGCTCTTAAATTGGAGAAGAATTTGAACTAGAGAGAGTTTTGTTATCTTTCAGTAATAGTATTCACAGCAACTGCCATCTATTGGTAACTATGTGCTGGCTTCTGCACCTATGTATATACCATGTGTAAACTCTTAAATCCTCGCAGCACCCCTCAGAGATCAATGCTGTTACCCTCCCTAGTCTGTTTTGCAGATGAGGAGCCCGAGACAGGTAATACATAAATAGCACAGCTAGGATTTGTCTGCCCGTCTCAAGATGGTGCTCCCAAATATAGGGGTGAATTGCTCCCTCCCTCCAGCACCTTCTAGTGGATGAAACAATCACAATTAGCAGAGCCTGCACTTCAAGTGGAGGAACTGTGTGCTTAGGAAAACCCTACACAGTCAGTCATGTGGAAAGCTCACTAATGTCATCAGACAACTTCTACTAAAGTGAAAGTATATTTAATTCTTATATTGACTATGATGTTCGTGCCTTCAGTCAGAATGCACTCAAAAGGCCGGAATTTGCTCAACTTCAGTGTATTAAATTCTGAAAAGCCTGCCCACCCTAAAGGGAAGTCATTTTTCTTTTGCTGATGTTGGATCGATGCAGGAAGTTCAAATAAGATAACACATGTGCCCCCATCATCGGGGACCACTTCTCTTAACAGTTTACCCTTTGTTCTTCCAGATGCTTTCTTGAATATTTTTAACCATCTTTTCAAAATGAATAGCATGGGATGGACATTCTTCTGTAGTCATACCTAAATATCTACGTTACCTTTTTATTAGCAGCCTTGAATTCTTGCCACCTTTCTTGGGCATTACACATAAACTGGACACTGCACTGTGCCCTGATCAGACAGCATCTTCTCTTGTGCTCACACTGATGAGAAAGCCGAGGCTCAGGGAGCTGTTCCACAGCTAGTCTGTAGAAGAGCCAGCACTTGACCCCAGGCTTAGAGCCCTTCATGTGAACCACTGCCGACCTACCCAGACCTCTCAGGAAAACAATTTTGTAAGATAGGCCAGGTAGTTCTATCTAAGTAAATACAGTGCTGTGCATTTATGTGTGTGTGCTTGTAACATTTATTTTTTCCTGATAATAGCAAAGTGCAAACAAGTTATTACCAACCCTGCAAAGTACACAAATATCTGAATAAGGACATAACATTTGGCTGCAATACCATGACTCGGGTACCTCCATGATAAGCCTTTTTCCGTATTTTCTCCTTGTCTGCATGTACCTACACTGAGGCATGTTCTGCTTCCTTCTTTTCCTCACTCCCTCTTTTCCTCCTGCAGTTCTGCTTTCAAAGTGGAAGAGGACGACGCTCCCATCAAGCGCTGCCCCAAGTGCAGGGTGTACATCGAGCGCGACGAGGGCTGTGCACAGATGATGTGCAAGAGCTGCAAACACGCCTTCTGCTGGTACTGCCTGGAGTCCCTGGACGTGAGTGTGGCCCGCTCCCCTGCCCGGGGCTTTGAGGTTCACATTTGGAGTGAGAAAAATAGACCAGCGTTTCCTAAAGAGTGTGTCTGTTGTGCTTGTCAAACAGAGAAGTGACGCTATTCCATGTTTTTCTCTGCGTTTATGAAAATAGTAACTCATAGAGTGTGTGGTGTCAGCAGGTGGTAACTCGTGCAGGAATTCTGGAGCTTGATAGCCCAGTGCAGACTTGGGATGCAGCCTAGGCGTTAAAGCCGTGTTTAGGATCTCAGGTTTTGTCTAAGAGAGGTCTGTCTTTGTCAACTCAGGCTGCTATAACGGAATGCCATAGACTGGACAGCTAAACAGCAGACATTTATTTCTCATAGTGCTGGAGCCTGGAAGTCTGAGGTCAGGGTGCCAGCAGATTCCGTTCCTGGTGAGGGCTTCCTCCTGGCTTGTAGACAGCTGCTTTCTCACTGTGCCCTCACATGGCAGAGAGAGGGAGCTCTGGTCTCTTTCTCTTCTTAGAAGGACAGTAATTTCATCATGACATCATCTGAACCTAGTCACCTCCCAAAGCCCCACCTCCTAATATCATCACATTGGGGGTTAGGGCTTCAACATATGACTTTTGGGAAAGGATGCATAGCTGTTCCATCCATAGCAGGGACTGTTAGTGGAACAGCAGGGATACACAGAGGCAGGCGGCTGTGGACAGACATGTTGGGCATGGGGCGGTGTCAACCCTTCACTGACACTCATGTCATCTGCGGGTGGGAAAATACACAAACCCTTTGCCGTCTGGCAGAGTGGAAGTTTCTAGCGTCGTAGGGCAACTTTCTCCCAAGCGCACTCTATGCTGAGGCTCTTCTGCTGTGAGCGTTTCCCAAACACCTGTACCCGCGTGTGTGCTGCACGAGCTCAGCTCCTGCCAGGTGTGCGCCCCTCCTCTCCCGGAGCCCCCAACACTTGCTGGACCTTTGAGGCCTAATGAAAACGATGCTTCTTTTCAGCTTCCTTTTCTCCTTCCTCACCCATGTGAGGGGGTGGGCGTTTTGCCCAATAATGACATTGTGACTTTAGTTTTAGAAGAGTTCATCTGTACATACTTTTTAAAAATTTGAATTAGATTGCAGATCTAATTATTTATAAAAACTATTGTAGTTAGTGACAGTGCAAGTGAATCAAGTCATAGGTCACGAAAGGGTTGTATGCACGTCTGTTTTGTACAGCAAGGGTGTCTGCATCCAGTCCATCCATTAGTAGTATTGAGCCCTTAGATCTAATTCAGATAGAAGGTGTCCGAACATCCGTGCTTTAGACCAGTAGGAGTCCATCTGCTCTTTCTTATCTTCACTGTGTGACATCACTATTTCCGGTAAGTGTCCACACTGAGGGGCTATTTCAGAGCTATTCCACTCAGCACAGGATGGCTGGGCAGGTGAACTCAGGCCGGGCAGGTAAAGGAGAAACGGCTCAGAGCACATGCAGTGATAACTTTGAGAGTTTGCCGGTCCTGAAAGGACAGGCCAATGGACCGTCAAGAAGGAAATGAGTATCTACTGGAGATGGAATATTAAATAAGGTAACAGGTCTGTAATATGAAGGCCACCTTTAATAAAATTAGATTGCTTTGTCTGGGGTGGTTCCTTTGAAAAGTCTGTTCCTTTATTAACTTTAAATTATAAACTTTACAGTAGAGCCTGATGTAGCTGAACAAATCTGGGGGAAATATTATCCTTCTTCCATCCCTGAGGCTTCATTTTCTCTTCCTAGACAAATTTAATTAAATCACTTGGTACGATTCATTTTCTTTAGCTTAAGTAAAAATGATGAGGTTGTTCCCTGACTTCCTGCAGTGGGGAGGGGGTGTTTTGAGTGACATCTGAAGCATCACAAAGCCCTTTAAGGCTTCAAAGTCTTTTGGGGGGTGCAGGGGGTAGTTGTTGCATTTTCCTGTATTTCAGCTTCTTTGAAAACTAAACATCGAATTATGATGTCGTGTCTAATATCTGGCTTGCAGTTTAGCACTCTTCGTGAGTTTTCCTAAAGGGTGAAGGAAGTGGAATGCCAGTTTTATGACATGTTCTCAGATCCCCTGGAGGATTTCTTAGGGGCATTATTAGAAGTGGTTTCTGGAACAATCACTTTTTCTGCTGCTCCCTCTTAACGCTGCCTTGATGATGTCATGGGGAGTGGGCAAGAAGCTGCCGTTCTGCTCCCCAGAGCACAAAGGTGGGCACACTCTGTGGGGGTCCCAGAAGGAAGCCCCTCAATCTGCCTCTGTCCCAAAGCTCGGTTCCTGCCTCCTCGCATCTGGCTCTGCCTGAACTAATGACAGGAACGACACTGTGCTTTTCCTCCGTCAAAGATAGCATCCTCGTGGCCGAGCATTTCCTGTTTTTCTTTGTGCTTGAAGAGCTGCTGGAAAATGACCCTGTTGCCATAGAAAGCAGATTCTGAAGGAAAAGGAGTCTGCTGTCGGGGTGTGTTATCAAGGGCATTGACAATGATTTAAGACAAGTGCATAAATGCATAGCTCGAAGCCAGCCAGGGGTACTCGGAAGGGGAGAGAAGAGGACATTTCACTTAGCTTTTCTTTCCTCTTGGGAATTTTTGCACCCGAGGCACAGTTTCTTGCACATGCAGCATCCAGGAGTTTAATAAATTATCGTAGACTGCCGCCTCCTTGTATTCCTGTTCCCTCCTCTCTGCAGCTGGCCAAACCCATCTCCAGGGAGCCCTCACTGGTTCTCAACTACAAATGCTGCCCCAACAGCTTCTTTCTTTCACTTATTTTGGGGGTAGATAGTTAATATTTATTGACGTCATTTTTATGTGTCAGCATTGTACAATTTGCTCAACATCCCTACTTTATTTAACACAGATAATATTTCTGTGAGTTGGAATTATTATTTCCTTTTTTCGAGAGAAAGTCCAAGGAGCTTAACAGTCTTTTCCCAAAGCCCCAAACTAGAGAGGATCCAGTTGCTTATCTTTGTGGCAGGAAATTGTAAACCTCAGCTTGCCTTGCTCTAAGGCATTTCTTTCATCTTTGAACGTGTGCTGATTGCAGCTTTCTGTCCACACTTCTTGTTTCTGTTCCCACCAGGAGTTTCATGAAACCTCTCTGAACAATAAATAGTAAGGGAAACGATTCCTACCACAAAAATGCCTCTCGATTCCTGGCAGCTCCTGGGATTGTTATGCCCAAGGGCTTCCTCAGTGAACTTAAAATCACAATTAAATCAGGTATTTATCATGAATCCATACTAGAGGGCTTTTGTCAGGGGATGAGAAAGGTGTATTTTAAATAAGCTTTGGTTTTGTTCGGAAAATACACGTGAGTGCCTGCAGCTCCATTCTGAGTGATGCGGGGTGGCCGAGGTGAGGGTGGCCGGTGAGGTCCTTGCCCTTGAGAGCTTGTCATCTCCCTGTCAGGAAACCCTGAAATGTGTGATACGGACACCTCACTATGAAGAGGATTCTGTGGTCATGGTTGCAAAGTCCCTGGTAGCCCCAAGGAGGAGGCAGCAGGTCACTGGGCCTGGGGGTGTTGGGGGCAGCTGAGGACCTGCAGGCTGAGTGAGAGCTTGTTCACCAGGAAAGAGAACAGAATGTGCAGCTACCGAAGAACTGGACATGATGAAGGACATGAAGCTGTGCACGGCCTGGGCCTGGCCACAAGTGCTAGGAGGAAGGTCTCTGGGTACCACGCTAGGGGGTGCGGGCTCCAGCACAGAGGCCTGTGCTTCCCAAGCACTGGTCCAAGGATGGGTTGGGTCAGAACCACTTAAGGAGTTTGGGAACTGGGCCCTGCCCTAGAGCTGTGGGTCAGTATCTATGGGGTGTGACCCAGGAGTCTTCATTTTCTAGGTGATTCTGATGTGCAGCTGGGTTTGTCCACATCTGCTAGTAGAGATTATTAAAGACATTTAAACTGGTTAGAACCACATGATTTGGTTTGTGTTTCAGAAAACGAACTCAAAAACTTTTTAAGAGCTCACGGGTACGAGACATTGTGGTAGGCAGTCTGGGAAAACAAGACATACAAATGAAAAATGAACTGATGTCAGTGGTGTGTTTAAATTAATATCCGTGTAAAGGGAAGTGTAATTAAGTGTTAAAGGAGGAGCGAGCTCCCAGGGGACAGTTGTCAGAAGTACCTTTGTAGAAGACACACGTGGCTGGAAGGGGCGTTGAGTTCATGTACCCCCACCCCTCCTTTTACAGGTGAGGAGTCTGGGCAGAAAGATGAGTGGATAGTGACAGCTGGGACCTCATCCCCAGCCACAGGGGGGGATTCTTGCTACTGCACCGTGAAGCCAGGACTTAATGATACACCTCTGTGCATTTGGACACCCGGAGGTTTGACCTCTAAAATCGGCAAACTCAGGGCTGGTGCTGCTCTCGGGAGGACAGGAAGCCTAGTGCTGGTGTAATCAATGTGAAGGGCCAGAAGGCCGCGACTGCCCAGCTCTCCCTGGATTTCAGAGTATGACTTCTAGTTCTCTCAGACACATTGGGCTCTGTGTTTATTTACTCTTTCCTCAAAAAGGGGCTGTTTGCAGCCTCAGTGTGACAAATAAACAGCCATTGCCCCTCCTGGGTACCATTCACCTGTTTCCTCTCCTGGCAATAGGATAGAAAATGGTGCCTCCTGCTGGTTCAGGAGCAGAGGGTTTTGTACAGAAAAGCCATCCCTTCATGCTTAGGATGTGCGTATTGAGATTTGGGTGCCAAGCACTAAGCTGGGGACCTAGAGAGATTGACAAGCGTGAAAGTCACGGCTTCAGGAACCTGACAGCGTGCTGGGGATTGTGCTGGGAAGGAGACTGGAGCTCGAGGTGGGGCGGAGACCCCCTGACGAGGCACGGACAGGACGTGTCCACGAGCGCTGGAGAGGGAGCCGCTCTTCACCCCAGGCTGAGAAATTGTGGGTAGATGGTTCCGGGCTGCTCCTGAGTGATGAGCGAGTAATGAGGAACATTGTCGTGGTCTAAGCCAAGAGGAAGCAGTGCTCCAGTGAGAAGTCTGGCACAGACAGAGGAGGATGGACCAGAGATCAAGGAGATGATGTCAACCTGGGCGCAGTCCCGTCCCAGGACAGAAGAAGCACATGCAGAGGAACCCTGTAGAATCAGACACAGCCTGGCCGGGGAGCTTTTCGAGTAGCGATCTGACCTGCTTGGGCAGCAGCCCTGTGTCAGCACAGCAGTCACCCTTTCCTACCAGCTCAAGAGGCGGCCACTGCCAGAGAGGCCTTCCTCTGGGCTGGAGACTGAAATGTGATCCACGCCTCCCCTAGTGTCTGAGGCTGCTCTGTGAGCATGAATGGAGGCCCCTGGGAGGAGCTGGGCCACTGGCCTGGGGTGGCGGCAGCCAGGTGTCTGCAGGTGTGTGCCCATCCTCTACTGTCACCCCTCCTTCATGTCTCTACTTAGTGTGAGCAGAGGAACAGAAATGCTGCAGCTCAGGCCAGATTACTCACTGAACCCAGCAGGAATCCCCCATTCACTCCTGCTTTTCTCTGCACTTCACAGGATGATTTCCTCCTGATACATTATGACAAAGGACCCTGCCGGAACAAGTTGGGCCACTCCCGGGCATCTGTGATCTGGCATCGGACACAGGTAGGAGGTGGCTGCCATGGAACTTTGATCTGAGAGACAGAGTGTGTGTGTGTGTGCGTGTGTGTGTGTGTGTGTGGTTTCTAGAAGACTTGCCAATTGGTTGAAGATGCTATATAGAAAATGTGATTCCTGCTGGGATCTTTTCCTGTCTAAGATTATGCTTATGGTAGCACTTGCTCAAAGTTACTGTAAATGTGCATCACATTTGGCACACACTGAATCTGTAGCATGAGACTTTAGATTACTTGCACATAACTCATGACCTTGGTAATAATCTGCTGACTGTGCTCCGTTAATCCTCACATAGCCCTTAATAAAGAGCTGTCTGTAGAGGACTGAGCTAAGCATGTTAGTAACAGGGAAGGAATGGAAAAAATCCCTGTGTAGTAATGTCTGCGCAGCCTTTGGAGTTTATGAATGGCCTTCGTGTTAGTTAATATTTATTTATACTTTCAGCACATATTTTCCGCCAATGCTGTGCATGGTACTATTCTAGGAGACACACCAGTGAATAAGAGATGCGTCCTTCTCGTGTAGAATCCACATTCTGTCTAGGGACAGAGACAATAAACCAGCAACATGAACATAACATGAATCAGCAGAGAAGTGATGTGATGGGGCGGGGGGTCTTCTAGACTGAGGGTGGGGAAAGCCTGTGGGAGGTGGAGCCATGACCGAGTGCTGAGTGACAGGAGCTGGCCACGTGAATGTGGAGGCAGGGCAGAAGGGACACCGTGTGGACAGAGTAGAAGGAGGAGAAGGGGAGACAGAGGTGAAGGCAGGGCCAGACCCAGAGGGCTTTGCAGGCCACTGTGCGATGCTGGGCCGTTGTTCCAGGTGAAGTGTGATGCTGTCCAGGGGATCGGCCAGAAGAAAGTCAGGTCTGCAGTAGCTGCCTGGCTGCTGCGGAAAGAAGAGATGTGACGGGCACAAGTCCGTAATCCGTCAGTCTTTCTCCCCAGGGCCTCCGAGGGAGCTGTGTCATCCCCATCTGAAAGTGGAAAAAACATCCAGAAAGAAATAGGGAAAGATCCACCTGTAACTGCACTTCCTCGACAGTCTTAAACACAGATCACTAGCAAAGCTCGTGCGCATCCCCAGCAGGGACTGACAAGGGTTTTCTGTAAAGGGCTGGATGGCAAATACTCCCATCCTTGCAGGCCATAGACCTCTGCTGGAGCTACCAACTCCACCTGGAAGCCCAAGAGCAGTCGCCACCATGTACCAGCAAGTGACCATGGCTGCGTCCCAGTAAAACTGTTTACAAAACAAGTGGTAGAATTGGCGGTGGTGGTGGTGGCGTAACTGGGTGGATACGCTGCAAACCATTGTACTGTGCACTTTAAACGTCTGCGTTGTCTGGTCTGGGAATTACACCTCAATAAAGCTGTTATGAAAACAGACAACAGATTCTAGGCCAGACTCGGCCCGCGGGCCACAGCTTGCTGCCCTCTGGTCCTGAGAGCTGGTTTCAGCTGCACTGATCTTTCTCTGTCCTGTGGGCTCACGCAGCCTGATGCTGACCCTGCGTGTCAGTGTCAGTCTGCCCGGACCGTGTCTTCTCTCTCACAACACACAAAGGTGTCTTGATAGCAGTGACTTGTTTTGCTCATCTTTGGCATTGCTGCAGCCCTGGTCCTGTGCCTGGGACAGAAAGATGCTTTGGAGACAGTAATTGGGGGAAGCAGTGAATGGTCACTTTGGCCTCCCGTGGTGCTGGTTTGCAGCCTTCCCCTGCAGAGTCGATGGTCTTTGTCCCAGTGGCTGCTCTCTGCACACGGGAAACATTTCCCAGGCGTGGGCAGGACGCAGAGGGTGGCGGTGCTTCTGCCACTGAGCCCGGGAGAGCTGTGTCACTTTCTGGCTCTGTTCCTGGGGGAGGATATGGAGCTTGTTTGTTCCTCTTCAAAGAAAGAAGAGACAGTTGCGGGTCCTTAGAGGCTGTGTTGCTGTTCTCTTCCCTGGAAGAGACAACAACATACCTGTTCAGAAAAGTGAAATCTGACCTAGAGCATTGGTGCCTGGGGAAGTGGAGCTTCAGGGGATGTGACACAGTGCCACAAATGATAGATGTGCGGGGACTCAGGCGGACGCCCACCCTCCTGAGAAACCCCTGGCTTCGTTCAGGCCCATCTTCGTGTGCCTTTGAGAAATGGGTCCACCCGAGGAGACTGCTTCTGCCATCCCCTGCCTGTTTTCCAGCTTCTCGCCTCTGCCCTGCCTCCTGTCCTTCCTCCACGGCTGCAGTACCAGCCACTGTCCCCAGGGCAGTGCTCTGCAGGAAACCCCTCGGCACGGCAAATTCTGATTGAGCACATTCATGTGCCAGACTCTGGGGAACTCACAGGACGGCAAGGCAGGGTGAGATGCTAGAAGCAAAGAAGCATTTATCTTTCATGATTCAGGCTGAAAGATTCAAGAAAAATGGTGTGAAATGAATGGCAACTAAATCAGACCATGCAGGTTCCGAAGACTGGGGGTTGCAGGAGGCACTTTGAAAGCGGGTGCTCAGAATGTGAGACCGGGGGTCCGGCTGGGGAGCATCTGGGGGTGCAGCTGATAGGAAGTCGGGGACAGAGTAGTGGTTGGATCTGGAGAGGACAGAGTGTCGTGCTGTAGACCTAAGACTGTGGCACTAGGGAGCCACGGAAGGTTTTAGAGCAGCAGAGTAAAATGCTCACAGAGGACATAACCAGGACCTGTCTCATCCTGACGATCCTGGGCCTCCACATCTGGCATTTCCTTGCCCATTTAACTTCCTCTCCACTGCTCTACAAAGCAGAAATCACCAGCCTGCTGGCCTCGCAGAAGAACCCTCTCAGGGTGGCCTGCTGTCCTGACTTCTCCCCCGACTCTCTGCCTGCTGCATTTTGCTTCTTCCTTCCCCTGGCGCACGTCCCTTCCATCCATTTTCAAGGCCCTGCTCCAGCCCCACCTCCTCTAGTGAGCTGCCTCTAACCGGCCCAGGCACAGCGTGACCTGAGCAGCAGCATTTGAACTTCAGTTGACCGCAGCCCATAGGCAGACGTGCATATACCTGTCACCACACAAACACCTGTGCATGCCCTCATATACATATATATCCTATACATATATATGTCTTAGCCACTGCGCTTGTATATTTTTTATTCTGTTCTATTTACTAACCCCCTAATCTGGACCCACCAGTGTGATTCAGCATTTCATGCACAGGTCACGTGCTACCCCCAGCACAGACCGCACTGTCACTTAGAACTTCCTGCCAGAGTCAGGGTTCATAAGCTCCCTGGGGAAATATATCTGTTTGTCACCCAGGGCCTTGCCCAACTCAAACCCCAACACTACTCAGAAGTATGCACTAATCGAGTGTCCTCTGATGTCCAGTTTGGGGGGCCTGAAGTGGCACAAGATAATTTGTTGATTTTGCAAAGTTCCTGCTTCCTGAGGCTTCCTGCCTTTAGAGGTGAAGTTCACTAAGATTGTTCTAAGAGATTTTTGAGAATTTCATCGTGCCTCCTTGACATTATCACAGGCTACTTTCATTACTTTTCTGAGAGTAAAAATGTGCCAAATACATTTTACACAGCACGCTGTCAAACGGGCCTTCCAAACAAGACACTGTGCTGGGAACGAAGAAATCACGTCTCTGTGGTCTAAAGATTTCGTACCATTTATTTTGTTCCAAGTGATGTATTTTTTATCCTGTATAGCAGGGTCTCCTCTGGAGCAAATAGAATGAGTATCACAGGGCACCGCGAAGGCCCTGACTGCCAGCGTGGGTGCGGAAGACGCTTTATGTGTCACTAACTGCCACCTTCCGCTGTGAGCAGGAGTCGACTGCAGCAGCTGTGCTCTCTCCATCGCCCGCTGGCACATTTATTTAAACACGATCGCTGTGAGGTGTTCACCTGCTTTTCCCAGCTCCGTCCTAGAAACCAGCCATCGTGTGCCAGCATGAGAAGGGACATGACTTTATCACTAGAGTAAATCTACTTCCTTAGGATGCCAGAACCCAGCAAGGAAGATGTTTTTCCAACCCTGGCTCTTCCTTCTCTTCCAAGTAGTGAAAAAAAATCTCAGGTAAAGGGCAGAGCTCATGTTTGGCCTGAAGACGGCCTTTCCTGTAGCCAGCTAATTACTGACTTTTTGTGTCCCCACACGTCCATGGGGGCGCTCACAGTAATGTCCTCCAAGGCTGAGCTGCAGGGCGGGAGCTCCTTCCAGAAACACTTGTGTCCCGGCAGCCACGTGCAGTGTCTTCTGAGGGAACTTTTCAGAGCTGAGTGAAGTGTGCCCATGGTGTCTCTCGTGCTTACACCACGGTGCCCAGCCCTGTCTTAAACAAGTACTAGGACTTTTGAAATCGTTTCTTTGGCCATAGATTTGGCATCTGGGAAATGGGAAAGTTGTACTGGATTATATTTCAGGGATCAAATATGATTTCATTATTCTTTCACACTTCTGGGCTGTTTCAGCATAATATCATGTTTTAGAGCTGGTAATTTTGATTTCTCAAAGTTCCTGCCCTCTAATGCTTCCTTAGGGATCTTTTCCCTTTTTGTTATTGTATAGATGAGAAAACAGACCCAGGGAGGAATGAGGGAACTTAATCAGAGTTAGAACCACGTGCCTAGAGCGTTCGTGTTCTTATCACTCTGAACGCTAGGTGGCGGTCTGACTCCGTCTTCAGATGTCAGTTCTGGGCTTTCCACCGCCTGGGCTGATGGAGGCTGCTCGAAAGCACCGAGCTCCTCTGCCTGATTTAAATGGCAGCTTGTCTGCAGTTGTAGCTCATTCCTTTTGGCACTTATCCATACCAAGGGATACACATCTTTGAAAACAAAAATCAGAATTCTAACAGTGTTGGGCTTTAAACTACAGGAATGACGAGGGTCAGGTCATTGTCTAATGTACAATGCCCGTGTTGTTCTTATTCTCTCATCAGGAATGCCTTATCCCAGTCATTCTCATATACTAACCACCTGCTCATCGTAATCTCGCCATCTCCCGCTGGAAACCCTCTTTTCCTCTAGCAAATGTAGGTGTCCGTCACTTGGGGTCCCTTTGTACATGGAACCTGATGGCAGTTTCTGTAAAATGTATCATTTTCAGTTGATTAGATCCTGGTCTCTCTTCACCAGTCGGGGTGCTCCTTGAGGACCAAGATCTTAAGTGCCTCCGCATCTGTAACACCTAGTACAGGGTCTGGCTCAGGGTGGGTGCTCAGGGGTACTTGTTGGTTAATTGTGTAGATGGATGGATGTTTGGGTGTTTACATGGAAGAAGGGAAGTGAAGCGGAGAAGGGAGGGGAGGAGAGAGGGCGAGTTGGGAGGGGAAAAAGAGAAGGAAATATGGGTGGGTGGATGGGTGGTTGGCTGGATTGGTGGGTGGATGGATGGATAGATGTGTACACGGATAGATGGGTGGATGATGGTTACATGGATGGATGGGTGGGTGAGTAATGGATGGATGGATAGATGGGTGGTGGGTTGGATGGTTGGTTAGATGTATACATGGATAGATGGGTGGATGATGGTTACATGGATGGATGGATGTGTGGATGATGGATGGATGGATGGCGGGTTGGATGGTTGGTTAGATGGATGGATAGATGGATGGCGGGTTGGATGGTTGGTTAGATGGATGGATAGATGGATGGTGGGTTGGATGGATGGGTGGGTGGGTAATGAATGGATGGGTGGAGAGGTGGGTGGCAGAGTGATTTACACTTCAACTGTGGAACCTACATACCAGCCCTCCCTACTTCTATTCCTTTGTTCCCTTCTTCCAGGTCGTGGGCATTTTTGCTGGATTTGGGCTCCTGCTCCTGGTGGCCTCACCGTTCCTGCTCCTGGCTACTCCCTTTGTGCTCTGCTGCAAGTGCAAGTGCAGCAAAGGCGACGATGACCCGTTACCCACCTAGAGCAGGCTCGGTGCTGGAACACGACCCTGGCCTCTGGAAAGTGTGGCTCTCCCCACCCTGCCCTGCTGCCCCCTCACTAAACATCTTTCTTGCCTTATGTGCCCCATTGAGCTTCACAGTGTCAGGCTGAATGCCATGATTTCAGGGACTGGTGTCAGAAGGTTTGCCGAGGCCCCGGGTGCAGTCATCTAGGCATGGGGACATGGGGAGGCGAGGCAGGCACGGGCAGGGCATGTCCCCAAGGAGTCGGTCTGCGACGTGACAGGGAAGTGCGGTCTGGGGGCAGCTCACCGGGCAGCCTTCTCCCTGTGGCAGTAGACTAGGAGTGTCTGGTGGTGGCTTAAGAGACCTCATGCAGAATGAAGTCCGTCTCCTCGGCTTCAGGATGGCGCCGTGTTGTTGCAAGAAGTCTTTTAAGAATTACAACTCTCTTCCGACAGAATCCGATTATTCCAGCTTGAGAACAGCACTCTGTTTATGACAACTGTTTTTATTACTAATGGCATTTAGTAAAATCATTTTTAGATAGTATTTTTTTGTTCTTTGTTTTTTTTGTTTTTTTTCCAACTGACTTGTAAAAATGAACAAGGTGCATATAAACCAGCCTATGCCTTTCTTGAAATGTGCATTTTGAGAAGTTGTGGTTAAATGACTTTTCTGGCTTGGCCACTTTTCAGGAGATTTAGAAAGCCTTATGCACTCTTTGTGTTTTTCTTGAAACTTGCTGTAATAACTTTTCGAATGCTGTAAGCTGTGTACTGTTTTAAATATGGTTTCTCTATTGCTGCGTTTCTTTGAAAATATTGACATGTTTAAAGGAACATCTCCATTAGATTTGCTTTTTGTTTCTTTCTCTCTTTGTTGATTCAGCTCAGCTCCCAGGACTCGTCCCTTCTCACCCAGATAGTGGCAAAGACTGTTTAAGTTCTTCAGACCAAATGTTTTACTTGGAAATAGTTCTCCTCGGAGTTACTCTGGCTGGGCCTCTAACCCAGTCTTCCAGTAGACAGTAAGAAAAAAGCAGTGCTATTGATCCTGGCAGAGGCTGGTGGACTCCAGGGGGCTGGGGAGGAGCTTCCTGGATTTTCACATGTTTTAAATGCTTTAATTATTTTGAAAAATCATATATCTTACACAGTTCCAAGTCCATTACTAACCTTTTGTCATGGCTTGGAAAAAGCTTCCATTTCACTGAATTATTCTGATGTGGGGATCTTACCACTTGGTCTTTTGCAGGGCAGTATGTGACTCTTTCTATGCCAGCAAAATGCATGGATCGATAAGAAGACACCCATCGCTCCATCAGTTGACATTGAAAAGTGGAGAAAGTGTATTCTTTAAAGAAAGTTGACTTTCA